TTTTTCATTCTTCCTGCAATTTCCGTCGATTCGTTCGGCTGACCTACCATAATTTATAATCTTTGGAATTGATGTTTGAGTTAAAATTGATAGTGCAAAGGTCAATTAATGAAAAAAATTTATCGTTTTATAATAAATATTCTTATGAAAAATTTTTCTAATAATCTAATTAATATCTAAATAATTGCTTAACGGTGCAAAAAACATTCGAATAAATTGGCATATAATATAAAATACTAATAACTAAAATATAATCCTTGACCAAAAAGTAAAAACCAATCATAATTTTTAATATTTTTTAATAAAATTTAAAGACGTGAACGAAATTTAATTGCAATTATTTATGTATTTCATATATATTAATAATTTATACATTATGATATATTATATTTTATTATTTTTTAATATACTCTCAATAAATTCAATATGAATCCAATTGAAAATTAAAAACGCATCATTAATCACTTAACTGATTTAAAGAAAAAAAATTCTGAATATCTTGAAAAAATTATTTCAAAAATGAAGAATATGATAAAACAATTCATCAAAACAATGAGAGAAATTATAAATTATTAATATTTATATATATTTTTTTTATTTAATCAATAAAAATAGAAATAAAAATGATTATTAATTATTTTAAAAATGATTATTAATTTTAAATTAAAAATGAAAAATATTGAAAATCATAAATGATTCTAATTCTTTACCAAAAACTGTAGTATGCATTATACAATAATAAATTTTTCGATTGAAATAATAAGATTCCAAGAAAATATTTATCTTTATAATTTTTATAAACGAAATAAAATATACAATTAATGTAATTTCTAACAAACCTTACAGGGTGAAAAGTAGTCAAGCATTGCACAGAACGTTTAACGTGGATCCATTGTATTTGAAGCATGAAAACTCAGGTAACAGAATCGCATTTGATATTACGTATTAAATCAAATGGGATATTCTATTAAATAAGACATATTTTATCTACTTACAGGTCTTGCTATTGATTACATGGTATACAATCATATAAGTTCGATAGATATTATCAGCCTTACTAATGAAATCATTTCATGATATATACGATGTACATATAAATTATTTCTTATTTATAATTTTAGCACTGGCAAATCCCATTGTCAAAGAGATTCAGAGCATTGAAATTGTGGTTCGTCATTAGAAATTACGGAATCACTGGCCTTCAGAAGCATATTCGCGAGGTTTCTATTACATCATAACTTTCTGCGTTTTAAAAAAAATTGTGATTATATTCTGCTATTGTCCCTTGCTTCGATTTTCGTTCGTTCCCATCCCATTTTTAAAAATAAATCGTGTCGCTAAATATAAGTAATATTTTCAATATTTTAAATTCATTTTTCTATAATTTCGTTCAAATATTCAATAATAAATTTCAGGGGGTAAGACTGGCACAAAAATTCGAGGCCCTAGTTTTGGCAGACGCACGCTTCGAGATTCCAGCAACAAGGCATTTGGGGCTGGTTGTGTTTCGCCTTCGAGGAGAGAACAGTTTGACAGAACGTTTGTTAAAGAAGATGAATTCGAGGGGTCGAGTGCACTGTGTTCCAGCTGCTTTGCATGGAAAATACGTAATTCGATTCACCGTCACTTCGACCAAGTGAGTGCCTACGATTTTAATAGAAAATCGTATGATAAAGAAAACAAATTTTCCTTTGAAAAGATTTATACTTGAACTTCGATCCTAGCACGACCAATGAGGATATTTTAAGAGACTGGGCCGAGATACGAAATACAGCGAATGAAATTTTGGATGATGACACGATTTCACCTGTACGGGCAAAAGTTCCACTTGCAGGTAACAAAGAAAGAAATAGATTGATTTATTAATTTCTTCGATTTTTAAAATGTAGATATAAATATTGTGCATGCATATTGTAATATGCCATTCTAATATATTGTATCAAGTAGAAATTTTTTTTTTTTTTTATTAAAGATACAATGTTGTTCTAGAATTGAAACGTATTTTAGATTTTGAAGCGTATAAACAAATTTATTTTTTTGTATCATTTTCATATTCAAAATTATACAAGCTAAATAATTGATAAGAATAATAATAAGCAATTTTATTTCTAATCACTTTGTTTTGTTTTTTCTCTCTTTCTCTCTCTCTCTCCCTTTTCTCATAAAAATGCATGTCTATGATTTTTGGAACACAGAAAGCTCAGGTAAGACGAGTTTCCAAATACTCAGGTATTTGATTTTCATGTTTTTAATTTTATATCTTAATGTTTTTTTTATTTTTCCAATTATTGCAGTACAAAGGAGTACAAATGTTAAATTTACGATACGATGTTATTGAGTTAAAAGTTTTAATTTTCAGACACACGAGAAAAGAATGAAAATTTTGGTACAAGTTTATTATTGGCTAATTCCCCAATGTCGCCGAAAATCGTAAATGGCAGCTTTGCTGCAATATACGATACTGCAGACATATTCGAGGAATGCACGAAGGCTTTTGGCCAATTACGACTCGAAGCTAGAGACAGTCCAGGTAAATAAAATCCAATCTCTCTTCCTTAATTCGAATGATAAATAACTTCTAATTCTGATTTGAAGCCATGCGTCGTCGAATTCGAGGAATACTTATGTCAGGAAAACAATTCTCCCTGGATTCCCGTATGGATCTCGTACAGGTGATGAAATAAGATAAAATATTTTTTTCTTTAATGCTTTATATTAATAAAAATTAATATACTTTTAAAACAAAAAAATTTTTTTTTACAACTATATCAACTATATCAAATTATCGATTACTTTAGGGCTATGCTTGTTGCCGTCCAGCTATAGAAATGGCCACTGAATTGCCACTACAAGAAGATGAAGATGTTGGAATCGCCGAAATAAGATCCGATGCTAATCAATCCAGCAATGGTAAGTACAATATATAATTAAAACCTACAAAAGAACAATTATTTCTAACAATCTCTCTTCTTATGTGCTTCAGATGATCTCGATGAACGTTCAACCGGCCAACAAAAGTTGGAGGATATTACCGAGAAAACGGAAAAAACGTTAAAAAGGCAAACATCCAAGTCTCGTTCGAACTACGCCGTGAATGGTTCCGTGAAAATCGGTTCTCAAGACTGCTCGAATACTCTTACGTCCATGTTGTCGACAGAAGGTAATCTGCCAAGGAGCGAAACAATAGCCGCGATCGGTCATCGTTCGTACGCAGACGATTTATCGATGATGCAAAGCGAGAATCTTTGTAAAGGGGATAACGTAGAGAACGTGACTGTCTGCAGGAAATGCGGCCATTGTATGAAAAATAAAGAATAAAGAAATTAGCCGAATAAAAAGTAACTGTTATCGCGACTGTGTGTACATTCCTTCATTCGAATGGAATTCTATATTCTTCAGATTTAAACACTACCAATTGTTGAAGAGAAAGTAATCAACCGCGATAATAAATCTGAATTTACCGTCTGAATCCTGTTTTTCTATATTTCTTTCATTTCTTCTCCTCTTTTTATCTCTTTCATCAAGATTTTATACGTAAAAATAGATCGAAAAAAGGAATGGTATTTTTTTTTTTTTTGTTTCTTTAAACTTTCTTTAAAGTCTTCAAATAAATCAAATTCGAGGACATTCGAGGACATGTCATGGTGTATAAAAGGAAAAATTTGATAGAGATTTTTTAATCGAAAGGAACAAAAAACAAGTACACAAAGAATAAGTGATATATAAATTTATTGCATTTTAATTCTGATACGATATGACAACAAACCTGACCAATAGTAGGCCACATAGGTTACTTTCATTTCCAATCTTTGGAAAAACGTATCACGAGCGCAACTCGGTCTAATTCTTTTCTTTTTTTTTTTTTTTTTTTTAACAATTCCTTCCCTTCGCAAAAATTCTTCCTTCGTTTAATAATTAATTCGCGGGGGGAAAATATATCATTTTGATATAATACACCAATATTTTTTTTTTTTTGTTTCTTTAAACTTTCTTTTAAGTCTTCAAATAAATCAAAGTCGAGGACATTCGAGGACATGTCATGGTGGATAAAAGGAAAAATTTGATAGAGATTTTTTAATCGAAAGGGACAAAAAAACAAATATACAAAGAATAAGTGATATATAAATTTATTGCATTTCTGATACGATATGACAGCAAACCTGACCAATAGGAGGCCACAGAGGTTACTTTCAATTCCACGGTTTGGAGAAACGAGACACGAGCCAAACTAGGGCCGATCCTGTTGCTTTTTTTTTTTTTTTTTTTTTTTTTTTAACAATTCCTTCCCTTCGCAAAAATTCTTTCATCGTTTAATAATTAATTCGCGTGAGGAAAATATATCATTTTGATATAATACATCAATAATTTTCTTCTTATCTATAAAACAATATAAAGAGAAAAGAAAAGCTTATATATACACATAGATATATATTTTCCTTCATTGAGATACGTCAACAAAGTATCGCTTGTTTTGATATCTGATACTCGCATTATATCTCGCATTTAACAATTAAATCGCGACTCATATATATATATACCATTTTTAATCGTATCAACAATTGTTAAATTACAATATGCCCTTACAACTTTCTATCACCTCTAATTTCTGAACACGTTTCTTCTATGGCGTTTGTAACGATCCATATACTGTTCATTAATCTTTAACTACAACTGGAACAATCTACTATATCGCATCATTCTCGATTAACTCGTTCAGCGTTTCAAAAAGCTCGCATGGATAAATAACATTTTGTTCTAAAATATTCAAAAAAATATCTATGTTATTACGCGTCTCTATATAATTTTTTTCACATTTTTTTGAATCACGCGAAAATTTATAATATATCCCGTATTGGAATATATTTCTGTTTAAAAAAGAATCGATGATGATGAATCCAATTCTTTTTTTTTTTTTATTTTTCAATTTGAATTTCCCTCTTAATTTCGATTTTACGAGAATCGTTAATCATTTTCTTTCCATTAGACGGATCTCTTAATACTTAATACTACGTGCTCGAAAATATTCGAATGCGGCTCATATTGTTTTATAAGCGTTGCTTAACGCTATCCCATGATAACCGCTATCGTAAATTTGGTAAAAAAATTAACAAACGCTAGGGCAAGTAATTTGTTCGCTCTCGTTTAAAGTGAGAAAATGAGATGATGAGCTTCTTTGATAAGCTCGATGTATTTCGTATCGTTAAAATTTTTTACTAATACTGACATTGTTTAAAATATATGTTCGCTATATCAAAATCAACTCTCGATTAGATTCTCTTAATTATTCATTCATCGAGAAATTATATTATTATTACTCCGTAAGGGCAACGATATGTGCATCGAGAAAATTTATTGTATCACTCTATCACCTGCGATTTTTGATTCCTATCTTCTCGTTAAGAAGATGATAATTCACGATAATTCTAAATGTACATTTTATTCTGTAAAAAGAAAAGAACGTTAATCTTTTGTCTCATTGTGAAAACAAACGAAACAAGCTTATCATCCGCTTAATTATCTACGTTTGTTTAAAAACAATATTAATAATGTCTAATTTAATTAATCAATCCTCGTAAATGATTAAAATATATATATATAAAGGGTATACAAGCAACAAAAATAATCGATATTCCATTTCACTTATGAACTAGATATTCATCTCTTCACTCTTTATAAACATTATTATTATCATTCGAAACAACAATAATATAAGAAACTCATATGCGTTAAGGCAACAATCGACGAGCTTGAAACAAAATATCGTGTCCGTATGGAGCTAACTAGGGAACAACGAAATCACGTGCCAAAAAGTATAATCGAAAAACGCTACTTTACCATCGAAACATCATTTCATGCCATCG